GAGCTTCCATGCCATCTCTGGGTGGGTCACTCTCCCAGCACCTCCATGTGTTCACCAAACCGGAAGCTCTCTGAACTCCTTCAGTGAGGATTTTTATGGAGGCTTCATTACATAAGCGTGATGATTAAATCATTGGCCACTGATGATTAGTCAACCTCCAGCCCCTCCCCAGAGGTAGGGGGTGGGGCTAAAATTTCCAACCCTCTAATCACGTGGTTGGTTCCCCTGACAACCAGCTCATCCATCCTTAAGGGCTTTCCAAAAGTCACCCGGCTTGTTATGAATACCAAAAGATGCTCCTTTCACCTTTGTCACTCTGAACCGTTTCAGGAGCCTGGGACAAAACCCAAATATAACAAGATGTTCCTATAGCTCTTATCACTTAAAATTAGAAGATTTTTAGGAGCTCTGGCCTGGAGCTGGAAGAAGACCAAAATACATATTTCTTATTATATCACAGTTTCATAGGGGAGAAGAGACAAATCTCTTTTTGAGATTTGAAGAATTCCAAATAAATTATGTAGCTACTGGGGGTGATCAGAATTGGCCACCTCAAAATATGTCTCTTTACCTTGATTATTTTCTGAAAGACACTTTGACCTCTCCCCCCACTAACTGCCTAAAGGAATTTAAGATAAGAGGTCTGTCCCCAGGACAGGCCATCACCATAGATAATTCTGGGTATTGATAAACTGGGAGAGTCCTTGCTAGGCCCATTCTTATCAAAGTTCTGTTTACCAAACATTTACATTTGTAAGGGAAATCTCCATTTATAAAGGTGTTTCCCTCTCTGTACCAGGAAGAAGAGAGGATGACCTTATCTCTAGAAATTTGTTAATGTGGAAGACGAGGTCTTAAATCTGCATAATAACCTTACTCTTGTTTACTGTGCTTTTCTGGTAATCTTCCATAGCTGACTCCCCCCACCCACAACATCCTCCTTTGTCTTTACCTGACTGAATATGCTATTTAAGAAGAGAACCTCCGCCATTTTGTCGAGTTACTCAGTTTCCCTGGTCTCTCCCATGTATACTTGTTATAAAGCCTTGTTTGGTTTTCTCCTGCTATTTGGTCTCATATCAATTTAATTTGTAGCCCAGCCAGAAAGGACCCAGAGTGGGTAGAAGATAGTCTTGCTCCCCTACACTACCCTACCATAAAGGAGGGGGAACATAACTCCCCACTTGTGAACTGTGGGCTGTGTAGAGTGGCTTCCGGGGAAAGAGTAACTTTGGAGAGGAGAAACCTGACAAATGCGCCTCAGCCAGGTGATCAAGGCCAACATTAACAGTGATAGATCATGTGGATAATGTGTACTCTTGATATGATGTGGTGAAAATGACTCTCTGCCTCTATTGTCTTTCTCTCCAAACCCATAGGCCCTGTCTAATCATGCAAAAACATCAGACAAATTCCAGTAGTGGGGCATTCTACAATTTACCTGACAAATTCTGCTCGAAACTGTCAAGCTCATCACAAACAAGGAAAATCTGAGGAACTGTCACAGCTAAGAGGAGCCTAAGGAGACATGACAACTCCATGTAATGTGGTATCTTGGATGGGATCCTGGCACATAAAAAAGACATTAGGCAAAAACTAAGTAAATCGGAATAAACTGTAGACTTTAGTTAATAATAATAATGTATCAATATTGGTTTATTAATTATAACAAATGTACCATACTAATCTTGAATGTTAGTAATAGAGGAGACTGTGTGTGTGTGTGTGTGTGTGTGCGTGCGGTGGTCGGGGAGACAGATATGGGAACTTTCTGTATTATCTGCTCAATTTTCCTATCAATCTAAAACTGTTCTAAAAATAGTCTATTAATTTTTTTAAAAAGGCAAGCTGGGGGGAAAAAAAGCAATGGGTAGCTCTGGTTGTGCCAGAACTCCTGGGGTTTCGGAGTATGGAAGGTGAAGGATGGTACCCCCTCCACCTCATCCTTATCTGTGTCACAGGGAGCTAGGGCATTTACAAAAATGTCTAGAGCTGCCCCTGTCTCCAGACCAACCTGGAGAGATGCATTTCAAGAAGTCAAGAGTGAGGGTTTCTGGGTCCTCCACCTGACGAGGCGGCCAGAGGGTGCTGGCCAATGTGGCCCTGGACCACTAAGGACACTCAGTGAGTCCTGGGTTCTTGGGGTGTCCTGCCAGTTTATACCAACTTGTCCACATTGCCTGTCCCCCGCCTCTAGTCTTCTGAACGTGTCATAGGAAACACCCAGAAGGAGCTGTGGTTTGTTGGACCAAAAGGAAGGCAAGTGTCTTGAAGTAAGGAGAAGAGAGTTTGAGCTTTAACCACCAATTTCTGTCAGTGTGTCTCTGGGCATAGTAATGAGCACAGCTATAACCTAAGGATATGAACATCTATCCCACTGATTATTACGTCAACCAGTGGCACTTGGAGATATATAAAACTCTATAAAGAGGATGCGTCATATTCATAAAGTCTTCAGCTACAGGCGGTCCCACCTGTGGGCGTGAATCTGTGTAAGCTAATACCCATTTACCTTTGTCTCATAGAATCAACAGAAAAGAGAAATGTCTCCTTCACACACACACATATAGATTGCTGATTCTCTTTACTTCTCGATGGGGCCTCGGAATTCAAGGATCCGAGACTGGAAACAATGGGCCGGCTAAAATCCACATCCCGGCAGGGTGTACGAGGCCCTTCTCACGCTGGTCGCAACCTACCACTCTGGCCTTGTTTTCTGCTCTGCCTCCCCATTTGCCATTTCCAGCTTTTCAACATTCCTTTTCTTGCCTTCGCACCTGCTATTCCTTCTACCTGCAATGTCCGTCCTCATCTGGCCCACTTGGCAAACTCCTACTCAACCTGTGAGTCCCTGCACAAGGGTTTCCTCGGAGAGGCCCCCTCTGAGCCCTGCCACACTGTAGTTCACTCCTCTGTGTTTCTTCTGTATCTTACACAGCCATAGAGGTATGAGAGCACAGTGGCTCTGCCACTGCCTGGCTGTATGGCCTTGGGCAAATTACTTAAAGTGTTTATGTTTCAACTCACATAGCAGTAAAATGGGGATAAACGAGGTCCCACTTCATGGTACCTGTGTACTGCGGGGGTGGAGGGTGGGGAGCTTTCCCAAGCTATGGGAAGAGGAGCCCCCTCGGCAGACTCTCTCCCTGACACTGGAGTGAGAGGCTGTGCAGCAGCTCGTGGCTGGTCGATGGTGGTGTGCACATGTGTGTATGTTGGTGCGTGTGAACATATGGAAGTGTGTGTCCCTCTGCAATGAGCATGAAGGAGCCCACCACCAAGAGGAAGAGGTTATGGAGGACGTGTGTTTGTGTGTGTGTGTGTGTGTGTGTGTGTGTGAGAGAGAGAGAGAATGGGACGGGCCCTAGTGTATTGCCTCGGAAATAAACACTGTGCCAGGAGAGGAGCCAATGGCTTTTTAAGCTAACCAGGAGGCTGTGTCTGCTCTTATATGTGAGCTCCCCCCGGGCATGGGGCACAGCCAGACAAATGCCGTTTTGTTACTGTCATTGGGACTATGTGGTGGTAAGGGCCTGGGAAAACAAGGGTTAAGTGAAACAAGTAGGAATCCCCAGTCTAGCCAGAGCCCGGCACATAGCAGAAGTGCAATGAGTAGTTTGTTGAAAGTTTTGATACTTAAGGAATAAAGGCTAGAGGGGATTCACTACTTCGTATAAGCCCCAAAGAGGTACAGCTATGGGCAGGAAGAGGTGCTACAGGAGGCAACTTCAGGTCAGTGTATAAATCTTTTTTGGGTGGTCAGCAGTCCAAAGAGAGGCTAGGTCACCCCGGAGATGGTGAGGGCTCTGTCACCCGCTGTGCAAGCAGCGGCGTGAGCCACCGGTGGTGGGGTGGGTAGGTGGGCTAGCTCCTGTAGAATCCTTACAGCCTTGAGGTTTTAGGGTTAGCGGGGTGATGATGGTGGCAATGATGTTAACACCTCCCGCTGACTGAGCTCTTACAGTGAGCCAGCCCAAGGGTCAGGGGCTTCCCCTACATGATCTCCTTCAGGCCTCACAACGGACTAGTATTACGTCCATTTTGCACATAAAGAAGCTGAGGCTTAGCCACTGGCTACATTGGCGATTTAAATTTAAATTAAGTAAAATTGAATGAAATTTAAAAGTCCACCCCATGTGGCGAGTGGCCAGTGGACAGCACAGCAATATGACGTTTCCGTAATTGCAGTGCTAGCTTAGAGAGATTTGCTCACCTGCCCAAGATCACATCTTCTGTGGGAAAGATCCAGAACACAAATGGGATCCAGAACACAAATGGAGGTCTGGCCCAGGAACTGGTAGGGGCTGCTGTGTGAGTCTGGAAACTAGGACTCTCAAATTTGGTTATCACTTAGCTACTGATTTCTGGGGTTATCTCAGGAAATCATTTCATAAAAAATCTCTTGGCCTAATCGTTTTCCTGGTAGAGAATGAAGGTAAAGGCGCTCAGCACTGCCCTTCCATTCTCCCCCACTCCCACCCACCTGGATACAAAGCCAGGCACCGAGGCTCAGAGCGGGTGGAAATGGAGAACATCGCAGACGTTCTTAAAATGGTGGAGCCAAGACACCGGGCTGCCGAGAGCTTTAGTTTTCTGTGGCTGTTTCCTTTAGCGGCTGTGGCGAGGGCCGCAGCTTGTCCCGCCATCAATGGAGCTTTCATTCATTCATTCAACAAATACACATTGAGTTCCAGCTAGAGCCAGGCACTGTTTGAGGCCCCAGAACGCAGACCTGCCCTCCTTTTGCCTCCTGAAGTCGTTAGAACGGGTCATTTTGAGGTTTGGGGACTTGAAGCTGCTTAAGGAAAAGATAGAGATGTTTGTTATCCAACAATAAGAAGGGGCCGTCGAGACCCGGTCCGTGGCGAGGATAGGTACCCGGAGGGGCCCTTGCCTACCGGGTGACCTCAGGCCCGGTTCTCCCGCCGGCGGCAACAGGTCCGAGGTCGAGAGAGGCGGGGCGGGGCGGGGCGGGGCGGGCGCCTGGGTACCTGCGGCCGCCGCCAGAGGGCAGCCAGGGAGCGCGCCCGGCGGCAGGGCCGAGCCCCCTGGTAAGTCTGGCTAAAGTGGGGCCGCCCCCTTCCGGGGCCCAGTCTCCCAGGGCTGGGGGTGCGTTTGGCGCGGTGGCGGGGCCCGAGGGGGCGCGCAGGGCGGCCCTGGCGCGGCGGGCGGGACCTGGGAGTTCTTTGCGCGCCGGGTGGGGGCGAGCC